CCCCCCCCGGGGCCCCCCCCCGCGGGGAGGGGGGGACACCCAGCGTGCAAACTCCCCCTCTCACCCCCCCGGGCAGGTCTCCAGCCCTCTGCTGGACATGAGCACGCTGATGGCCTCGCAGATGCTGATGGAGCAGGTGGCCTCAGAGGGCAGTGGGCTCCTGCTCCACCTCCTCTACCAGCATCTCCTCTTCGACTTCCGCATCTGGAGCAACAGCGACTTCGCCGTCCGCTTAGGTGGGGAGGGGGGCTGCTGAAAGAGGGGGGGGTGTTCTCCATCCCAACTGGCCTTCGTGGCTACTGACACCCTCTCCCTGCAGGTCACATCCAGTATCTGGCCAACGTTGTCAAGGACCACAAGCAGAGGCTCCGGAAGAAGTACGGGGTGCAGTATCTCCTCGACTCCATCCGCACCTACTACGGGTGAGCCGCCTGGACACCCCCACCCCGACATGCTGGGGGGGCCTCCCCCCCTCAGAGCTGCAGCTCGGGGTAGACAAGCACCCCGTGGGGTAGTCTGGTGTGGGGGCAGGACCTTCTGTTCACCATGGCCCCAAACCTCCACCCAGAGCTGTGACCGGTCAGCCCCAAAATCCACCCCCAGCGTCTCGCCAGCAGCAGCTGAGATCATGGGGGGTTCTGCAGCAAACTTCCTGCCTCACCTGGGGCCTTTCTGCATTTCTGGGGGGTGCTCGCACCCTGTAGAGACCCAAATGTGTGGGGTGGACATTTCTTGGTGGGCAGGGTTGGGCAGAAGGGGTGTCCACACCAGGCTGACCCATAGTCTCCTCAGACTTCATGGTGGGGTCATGCTGGCGATGGGTGGTAAAGGGCAGGAGGGTGGCTGTGCATATCCCTGGAGAGACCACCCATGTCTGTCTGTCCCTCAGCACCTCCAGGGAGAAGACCACAGCCACCGATGACATCAAGACGGTGCAGACATCCCTCTTCAGCCTGGTGAAGGATTTCTTCTGCAGGAGCTTCTCCGGGGAGGAGATGCAGAGCTTGCTGAACTACTTGGCTGGGGCACAGGACGAGCAGCAGGTATGGCACCGAGCCACTCAGGCTGCCGTGGGCTGGCCCAGCACTTGGTGGTTGGGCTGGTGAGAAGTCACCGAGGTCCTGTCAGGGCACGTGGACAACCAGGCCCATGTCCTGCAGGTCTGTGGGGCGCTGGAGGTGATCCACAGCCTGCTGAAGGGCTCGCCTGCCCAGGAGCAGCTCTTCACCTTCCTCTTCGAGCCAGGCCACGTGGAAGTCCTCTTCTCCCTGCTGGTGCAGAAGAAGTTCTCAGATGAAGTGCGGGAGAGGGTCTTCAAGGTAAGGCAGGTCCCCAACGCCCCCCTCTCGCCATCCCCCCGGGCTGGGGGCTCTGACCACGGCAGGGTGGCCACCTCTCTCTCTGCCCCACCAGATCCTCTACAAGATGCTGAAGTACGAGAAGGTCCCCGAGCGCAGCAAGAGCCGCCTGAAGCTGAAGGACATCGGGTACCAGGGGCTCATCTCCTGCCTCAGTGACATCCCTGGCTCCATGCTGCTCTTCCGCTGCCTCTCTGAGCAGGTCCTCGGGGCAGGTACCTTGTGACCACTGCCACCAAGCT